GCCTGCCGTAGGGCTGGGAGCGGCTGGAGAGCTGCTGGCGCCTCGGGGGCAGAAGCAGCTCTAGTTATCGCACAGAACTTGCTTGAAAATCAAGGGAATTTCGTTCTCTGTATTAAATCTTCCCCAGGGCTTGAAGGCAGTTGGGTGTCTTGTAATTCCATGGATCTTTCAATGGCTTCTGGGTCCAGAGGGCATCATCAGCGGGGCTGGCGGCGATAACCGCTGGTGGACTTTGACACACCCCAGCGCTGGTGACCCACACCGCCCTCGCTCCGCGGGCACAACCGCTGCGGCTGGGCTCTCCCCAGAGCCGCCTGTGCCCAGGCTCAGCTCCCCCCTGCAAACCCGGGGGAGATTCACCCGCCGGAGCGGCACAGGGCGGCGTGAGTTTATCCAGATACTCTCACGCGCTGTTTGTGCACGGTAAATATTTTAGGTGGATCCAGAGCAAGCAGCTCGCTCTGATCTAGTGTGTGGCGTCAGGAGACTTCCTCGTACTGTGATCTCAAGCCCAAGGGATTAACCAGCGGGCAGGGCTGGGCTGTCTTGCCCAGACAAAAGCACATTTTCCGGCTTCTCCGTCACAGCCCTCAGGGCAGGACGTTTCCTTCCTCTGAAGGTGGCAGAAAACCTTTTCCCTTTTGTGAGAAGCGTTTTGAAGTATTTCCCGAGAGCGTTCAGGGAAACTTGTGCCAGGCTGCGGTGCTGCTGTCCTGCCAGGATGCTCCGGGAGGCTGGTCCGCACTTCCCAAGGATGCGGGGCTTCCCACGGCTGCTGGGGCCAGCCCAGGAGGGAGGCAAGGAGGGACGCGGGGAGGAGAAGGGATTTTCCCCATCCCGTGCTCATCGGAGGTGCTTGTGTTTGTCCCTGGCAGATCTGCGGCATCTGGGTGTGGATTCTCGTTGCTGCTACCTCTGTCTCCTTCCCGCTGCTGCAGGGATGGGTGATGTATGTGTCCATCAGCTCCTGCCTCATCTCCTTGCTGCTCCTCTTAAGCTACATCTTCGGCTTTCACAAAAACAGCGAGAACTGGAAAGTGCTGGTAAGGAGCTGGGACACTGGCAGATGCTGGCAGCAGCAGTGGGGGCGGAAGGACCACCGTGGCTGGTGACGGGTTAGCCAGCCAGCTGCAAGCCTTCGCAAACAATCCGCCCCTTTCCTCCTTTTGCCTTAATTCGAGATGCTGGGTGGAGCTGTGCTAGGCTGTGGGTGCTCCAAGGGTTTGGTCCCAGACCCTGTCCAGGCTTTTGTCCCCTTCAAACCCTCACACGCACAGAGGATGGACCTCGTCCGTCCTCAGGGCAAATGAGAAAAGGCTGCTCCCAGGCAGGCGGTGATCCTCTCCGCTCCCTTGTTCTGCAGGACAGCTTGTACCACGGCACCACGGCCATTCTGTACATGAGCGCTGCTGTCCTGCAAGCCAACGCCACCATCCGCTCGGAGCCTGGCCACATCGAGCCTGGGATCAATGAGTCTACCGTCACCTCGCCACTCAACTATCAGCTCAACAGTGCTGCGTCGGTGAGTCCGTCCAGAACACACCAGGCAGCCCAGAGAGCCCGCCCTTCCCCTCGGGGAGACGCAGGGGTGAATACTAAAGCCACAGCAGAGCCACCCCAAGCCCAGCAGTGTCACGCTGGTCAGAGCTTCATGAAGCCCTTTGTTGCATCGTGCGGCCAGCGTGGGCTTCTCGGGGTCCAGCAGCTCCTGGACAGCCTTGCGTGGCTGCCTCCTGGGAAAAGCGGGGAGCTGGAGAGAGCTCTAGGAGGTTTCCCCAGGTCAAGAGCACTGAGGGAAACGGGGTTAGACTCTCCCAGCTGACACCAGCTTTTGCTCTTCTTCCTCTCGTGCAGTTCTTCGCCTTCCTCACAACCTTCCTGTACATCCTCCACGCCTTCAGCATCTACTACCAGTGAGCCTGGCAGCGCCTGTGCAAGACGAGGGCTTTCCCAGCACGACAGATGCAGCCGCCTTCTGCCATGGTGTCCCTGCACCGGCCCTGTCACCCAGCCTGTGGGGACTGCGGTTTCTTTCTCACTTCATTGAAGGAAGGATTTTTGTACAGCTGTGTTGTGTCGGTGTGTTTGTGGGGACACTGCGCCTGGGCTGTGCAAGGGGAGGGACTGGTTGCAGGCTCAGAGCCAGCCTCCCACTGCCAAAGATAGACGACCAAGGAAATGGGAAAAAAAAAAAAATCGTGGTTCCTTCAGGAAACAATTTCCTTTCTTATATTAATTTCCCGTCTCTGGTTCAGCTAGATCACTCCCCAACACATGAATTCATAATAATAACAACAACAAAATATTGTCTTCCTTAACTTCCAGATAATTTCATTTGGTATATTCGGTACTTTATTCTAATAAAGTGTCTACTAACAGTGTCTGACCAAATAGATTTTCACCACGATATAAGCTATGCTCATTGAACAAGCCAATTCTACTCCGTAAGAGTAAAAAAATTTCCTTTCAAAAAAACCAGAAAATGTTCACAGACTTAGAAACCTCCAACAGATTTTTGTAAACAAGTGCATCTTAGAACTTCTAACAGACTCCTAGATACAGTATAAAGCTCCAGCAGGAAGAGACTGCTTAACTACAGCTATTCACAGCAGCTCCTCTCCAGTGTCGGCTAATTGCCGTTACAAAAATCTGCAGCCCCAGAGCCCCAGAGTCCCTGGCAGCGCCATCACTTAACAGTCTCGCAGTCATCCCTCCTCGCTGCGTCTTCAGCGCTGGGGTGGCTGCTCGAGGGAGCTCCCTCCTCTCTCTGCCCCAGATAACCCTCCGCTTCTGCGATAGCGTTGCCTCGCAGTACGTCTAAGTAGAGGAGATAGTCCTGGAGACAGGCTGGCAGCGGCAGCTCCCGGATAAACTGGTCCGATCGCAGGCGTTCGCTCCTTAAAATGGACCGGATCTCGAGACGGCAGAGATGAGACAGGGAAGGAATGAAGGCTGAAAAATTGAAAAACAAGTCAAATGCTGAACTGGACACCATGGGATTGTATCTCTTACCTACGGTTACCCAGTTTAGCTAGATCCTATCTGAACCCCCCAGTCCCTGGCAGATAACGAGGCAGAGTTCTTGACAGGGAAGGGCTGCAGCCTGCTAGAATCAGATTTCCCAAATTTCCCTATAGGAGTTAGACAAGTTCCCTTAAACTTCTAGAAACAAAGTGTCAGAGAATCATTTTATCCTTCAGCAGAAAGTTTAATCTAACCAGCCTTGGGGAGAGAGGCTCATGCCACCTCACAAGAAATGAAAACTTCAGTCTAGAAGTCAATCCAGCAACAAAATAACACAAGGGAAAACACTTTTAGGATGAGTCTTAAATGCCAGCATGACTCAGTTGGGGTATGCTGCTAAGTGACTTAGGACAACCTCTGTGCCAAAAGACACGTGCATTCGTTCAAACAGAAACTTTCCCAGTCTAGATCAGCTTATCCTGAGACAGAACTCTAGTGCCCCCAAACTCCCCTAGAGCAGCTTCTCGGTTTATTTTATTCCCAAGGAATCTGTAGTATTAACTGCAGAAATTTCTGTGTTTCAGTACAGAAGGGTAAGTACGGCAGGCGTGTAGCTCCACGGGACCATACGTTTTGCAAGCCTTCAGCTGGAGGTGTGAACACCAGTTCCTGAATTTTTCCACACAAACCCTTCATTTTTAATTTCCTCTGCTCACTCACACGACCAGCCTATCTCAGCTCCAGCGCTCGGTGTTTCTCGGGCGGGGAAGCCTGGCTCAGCACAGCACCTGCCCTGCTTGCCCTGGCTGCTCTTGGCTGAAAGAATGAGAGAGTGAACGCTTTCAAACCTCCCCCCCAGCTTCTTCCTCTCTGCGTTGTCTCTAGAAAATTAGAGATTTACGGGAAGATGATCAATATCACTTGGTTATGTTTTTGGCTTCGGTTACTAGATGATATCACAGCACAAATACACTTACTAACAGCAAAGGAAACAAAGAACTTCATCTAGATTTCCCCAAATAAATCCTTTTTTTTAAAAAACTGCAAAAAGATATTCTGATTAGCTTCAAATGTTCCAAAGGAAGTATTATTTAAATAACATTATCACTTAAGATATTTTAAAAATTATTACAGAGCCTTCTGAAGAAGAATTTGCTTTGAAATGAGTCACTAACAAAGATATCTGAGCACAATTTTTCAGTAACATAATGCACAGGTCACAGTTAAAGCTCCTCTTCTGAAAGATGTACGCAGCGAGCACTAGCGTTTTCCTGGACAACCAATTATTGAATCTTTTTGTCTGACATTTTGATTACAGGAGTGACAATGAACAGCTGGATTTGTATGTATATGATGGTTTATATGGTTTGTATTTTAATTGCTGTCAAACGCTTACAGAACAGGAGAGACGCTTCATGGGAAATACAAATCAAATTTAAAAAAAAAAAAACAGTGGAATATTGTCTAGAAAACATAACCAAGTGATATTGATCATCTTCCCTTAGATCTTTCAAGAGGCTGAACAAATGATTTCAGGGAGGCACAGCACTAATGTACAGCCCCGTATCTTATAGCCCATGCATTAATTAGAAGTGGACAAGAGAGCCTAAACTGCTCCTTGAAACACGCTCACTAGGAATTGAACAATGCAATGAGTAAAATTCATTCATGTATGTTTTGCCTGTTTGTTTGTTCAGGGCCACTGCTGTTCCTGCTCCCCAGTTTCTGCACAAGCAATGTCTGTCGACCATCGACCTTCCCTGCCATCGCGCGCGAGCACACAGAGCTGCTTCCCACTCACAGCCTGGAAGCTGATACACACACACAGATTTTTTTTTGCCAGCTGTACTGCTTACCAAAATGGCTCTTGGGAGCCCACGTGAACTTCTCCTTGTAGTCTGAAAGGTCTTGCTCTACAGCTGGAGGAAGCCTCTTCCAGTTCGTGAACTCCAGGGTGAAGTTAAGGGCATTCTCGCTCACGGAGAAAATCCTGCACAACAAAAACTCCCATAAAATATCATTTTACACCTCAGCATAGATACAATCATGGAAAGGATGCATAGAGAGCTTTACTATTTTCTGACAAATCCTTCACAACCTACATCCTAAGCTCAGAAACAGAAAACCATTCTAGGGAAATCCAAAGTGATTTTGGCAGCACAAGCTTTTACTAATGCAATTTTATCTTCCTCCATTTCTTTTTAGAAGTAAGTTAAACTGTAAGAGAAAAATATCTGCTCTGAAATTTAACTGGCTCAGGAACAGGCAGAACTCTCCTCTGCACTGATTTCTTATTCCATTTCCACCTAAATTTTAATCAGGGGTCAAGACCCCAGAGCATTATAAGCATCACTACTGCTTTTGGGGAAAAACACGCATATATTCAGCAACCTGTTTATTGAATACTTATTCAGAAATCACTGTGATTTACATTGCAAATGTCTAGCACATGTGAAGAACTTTTAACAGAAGCTTAACTGAATAAAGTGTGTAAGGAGGATTCAGTAACAGCAGGTAAACACCTGCTGTAGCGCGACACGTGATGAGAGCCATGCAGTTTCACTGAACAGCTTCTCAGCCAGTTGTGTACCATCCTGGATTTTCATCTGAATGGAAATCTAAATGTTCTAAACACACAAAAATAACAGACTACAAATTTTTAATACACTGGCTTTTTACAAGAGATTCATGTCAAAACTATTTTAAGTCCTTTCTAGTTTTTTATTATTTCATTTTTCATATTTGGCTGAGCTTTCACACAGGAGAGAGATCTGAGTGCCTAGCTTTCTTTACAAAAATGGTGATCTTGCTTTCCCCACTGGTAATTACAACTGTCAGTGCTCCAGACTGACCAGGCTAGGACTGATTATACCGTTGTTTTGCACAAGGAGCCAGAGACAGCTCATGAACCACATGCATCAATGTAATTTGCTGTCTACTCTCCCCCTGCTGTCTCCCAGGACAGTTCGTATTGAAGTTAAACTTCCCAAAACTTTCATTTCGTAGATGATGATGTGATAAGCATTATTTTTACAAGCAGCAATTAAACAAGGGAAGTAATGGGTTTAAAAGTATTTGTGGATTATGTAACAAAATGCCAAAAAGCATCATATGTGATATGCACAGACAGTGAGATTTGCAGGGCGTTCACTTTCGCAGTCGCTCAGTCTTCCATGAATAAATACAATCTGCAGAAGCACAACTATCCCATGCCTCATGTATGTTCCTCTAACTGCTGTTCAGAAAGCCATGGGTGCTAATGATTAACAGAATCTCACTGAGTCATACATGAGTGCCTTTAAAATGACCAATCATACCTTAACCATGGTATCTTAAATATAAATCACCTATCTGAGATATAAATCGATATTTAAGTAAACCTTAAAACCCTGCACTTCTCATACAGTTAAGTGATGCCATGACTGTCTCCATCACACATCATGCTGCTAACAGCTGAGACATATGTCTAAGCGTCATCTCCACGGACAAGAAAAAAACAGAAGACAATACAAATACTTCATAATTTTAAATATAAGTTTAATTCCGTATACCTAATTAAATATAAAACATCATTAAGCAGTTATTTGTATGTGGAAGAACTAAAAAAACCCAAAAACAAACCACCAAAAAGCCCCCAGCAGAGTGGAATTTTTGCCACATTATTTTGTTTAACACCATCTCTCACTGCGTCAGTCTCCTCTCCTCCTAGCCTTGGCCCAGCTTCACCTTACCTTCGTTTCCCATCCCTCCTGACCTCCTTCTCGATATTTGAAATTCTTCTTACCATTACAGTATTCTACCTGCACAGGCAATTTGCAACTTAATTTAGGAGATAATAAGGGATGTTCGATATACAATTGCAAAATGATGCTTTTCTCCAGGGTAGGGATAAAACCACCTCCACTCTGGCTTTCTTCCTAGAATAAATTTATGGTACTGCATCCAGCCATTAC